AGTAACTTTCTGTATTGTTTCCAACAGAAGAACTGAAAGTGGTAGAATAGCCACATAATAACCTAATATTGACGAAAGGAAAAAGTATATTAAAAATTGAGTACATTCACATACCGTGCGACTCAGCACTCTTGGTAATCGCCTTTTCAACCATATCGATGCGACGAGTATCTAACGCGAGGCCGATGACATACAGAAGCTCATTCTGTAAGAGAATGGCTAGGATTACTGAGCTCGATCCTCTACAAACAGAGGTTATTTTCCACAAGTATTGGTAAGTGGCCGAAGCGAGGGAATATCTGTGAGAAGGGACCGCATTCGCAGCAGCCCAGAGAGTACCACAGTTACCAATTATGTGGAATAGGCACCAAGGTCGCCTCCTTAATTTGGGATGTTGGAGCATTTGAGAAAGTGCGTCAATAAGTAAAAAAGTATCTTTGTAGATTAAAATAACTGGAGACTGCGCGCCAAAGAAATAGACGGAAATCGACCGATCTCGATCCCCCTATTCATTTTTCTGACTCGTTAGGGTGCGGGACGGGGATCAAGTCTCTTGTGATCCTTCTACGCACATTCTCCGATTTTTCCAGTCTCCTGAGTGGCTAGTGGGAGGCGAGTCTCATCTATCAACGCAAACACATTCTTCTACTCTCCATTAAAGGATAAGGATAAAGTCTTCGCCGTTGATCAATCCCTTTGTGGGATGCGGCACGCATTCTACTTCCATTCAGAATCGTAGTGGCTTATTGAATGCGATGTGGCCTATACAATGACTTGCGGTGGCCAGCCGATGTACAAGTCAGTGTTTTATCCTCCCAGACGAATCTGGTACCAATTTACCGTCCCCGGAGGGTAGAAGGCTTGGTTGGCCTGGGCGGGAGTCGACCCGGGATTCGAACCCGGGACCGCGCGAGTGGTAAGCGCGCCACTTGTCACTACACCACCTCCGCCTCCTATTCTCCATTAAAGCGATGTACTGGCGGCCTAACAAACTGCGGTGACTAAAAACTCTGTCAAAGTAGGTATACCAGATCATGAACGTACGATCAACGCATGCCGCTGTGATCGAATTCCATGCGTGCGACTGTCGTCCACACTTGCCCTGTTTCCCACTGAGACTGAGTTCAGACTTCGCTATCGAGCGATTGGATTATGCTTATACCACCGGTGGCGCTCCACGACAGAATTCAAATTAGGCCACGTTCACGAAGCGCCAATTTGACCGCTGCAGCTGAGCACCGTTTAGAGGTGGAACGGTCACGGTAATGGTCGCGCGATCCCCTCGCGAAGTCTGAACGCGGTCTTGGGCGCTCTCTTTAGCACATGTTCGCCCAAAGCAGGTCTGATGCAGATCTGATTGGGCTTCTCGATGGTTGTTTCTGCAATCTGGAGTTTCATCACAGGTAAGGCAGTTAGCATTCATAAGCGCTTTTTTTTCCATCAATATCAAAACCCCGTAGCGAACAGTAGAATAGTTTGGAGTGACCGCAGAACCGGCAAAGTTTCAAAAAGCAGGATACTGCCTCCCATCACCCCCGTTCTCATGCATTTCTGAGCGGAGAAAGTGGCATGCTACCGTAGCTGCGGACCATCCGCCTCGCAGTTGGTTAAGAACCAGGACCCAGTTGCATGGCATGTCTTTATGTAGGAAAAATGAGCATGCGCATGTTCAAGGTAAAACAGACGTGAGCATTACTTAACAATGAGCACTGTACCTTGTCTAGATTTCTTTGGAAAATCCTGTTAATTAGTGCTTCCAGACGACTGTCCATTTTTTCTCCATTGTTTTGATCCGCTTGTAAGAATCAATGGCGATTTCAATAATTTTGTTAACGTACTTAAAAAGTATATTAGTCCAGATATTGGTAATAAGTGCAGATGAGGCAAAGCCAAACCTCATCGTCCTTGTCTCCGACTGTTTTGGATTTCGGTCTCGGAGTTAGCTTGAAATGAGTATCAGCAGCTAGGGCAAAGTTCAGCGCATTCTCGTAGTCTTCCAAACAAAATGCAACCTGAACATAGCAAAAAACTAGATCAGCCTAATCACTAGCACGACAAAACGCTCAGATTTGACCCAGAAAACTTACTTTCGACGCAAGCAAGGCAGCCTTTTGCCGAGCTGGGAACTCTTTGTTCTCAGAAAGTTCTTCGATAAAGCTGGCGCAATCCGCCACCTAAAAACAAAAGAAATGGCTCAGAAAAGGGAAATGGGCGCAGTTTTGCGAAGGGGGGGGGTGCATTTTGCCTCCTTCGCTGCTTCTTAGTTCTGGTCTACAAGTATTTTCCGGTGAAACCTGTGAATTCTTGTAAATCTGAGGCAAGGTCGTCTAGCCACTATGGTAGAACCTGTCAACCCTCGCAAGCTCACGAAATAGCTTTCAAGATGGGGCGACACGTCGATGATCAGTACCAAAAGTGCAAAGTTCCCCGTCCCCCGTCGCCGATCTGTCCCTGTAAATGACTAAAGAAAACAATGATCGATGCATTACAAGAAAATAAAGCTGCTAACCTCAAACCATGTGTTGGTGAGTACATCCCAGTCATCAAACAAGTCGATGAGCATTTCTTTTTCTTTCGCCAGCGAACGAGGAGACCGCAATGATTTTAGAAAAGCGCCTAAATCTCTTTAGAAATCGTACATATTTCAACGAACCGCTCGATGTTCACCAGCCTGGGCAACAGTCAGTAACTATTAAAAGGCGATGACTACAGGAAATATGAAGGAACCACTCACTGGCATCCACCGGGCCTCCCACTCGAGACTTCCAGTTATTTATAATGAACTGCATGCCTGAAAAAGGGCATATACTAAAACATCACTAACAGTGGAAGTATGTCTGCATATTTCAGAATGAAAGGCATGAATGAGTAATATAGCAGTGATAGCTCCAGCGGTTTTGATGATTTTAAAATGATCCCGTCATTCACGAAACATTGTGTGAAACCACCGACGCCACACTCACATTTACGTCTCAGCGACAAGAGAGGCGCATAAAAGCGGTGTGAACGAATGGGTTTAGATTTTCGTTCTCTTTCAATCTTTTCCTCTAACCCTTAACAGAACCAGGATGGGAGGGCCGTTAGACACATGGTTTCTCTTGAGCCCTGGAGGATTTACTTCGTTTTTCTTCTTCCATCGCGTCAAATCTGATCATGGAAGCGGCCAACTTCAAATCCAGCTTTTCGGGCTACTATGCTATGGTATGAGTTAATTTTCATGACTCAACCTGGACAGTAAACTTTGTTTTGCTATGGTATGAGTTAATTTTCATGACTCAACCTGGACAGTAAACTTTGTTTTCAAGCGCCATAAGATCGCAGGTGTAAAGGGGTATGTATCGGATTGAAGGGTGTACGGATGGGTGTAGCGGTGTTCTCCGTATAGACATTGAACTTGGTTAGAATGTTTATTATAGATAGATACGATATAAAGGGGAAAAGGGAGAGGAGAGGAGGAGGCCAGCGGAACCCCGACCAAAGCTTGAGACGACCATTCCTAGCGTAGGTAGAGACGAAACTATTCCATTCCATCCCCTCGGCTGCTATCGTCGTCTCTGACGACGATTCCTTCCCTCATCGTCGTCTCACAGTCTGAGACGACGATCCCTCATTGATTTCGCCCCCTACCTGATGCGGGGTCAAGCCAGGTAGGGGAATCATACGTCCTGCTTTCGTCCACAAAAGACACACGTAGTACATATTATTTATAATTTGGGACGTATCTTTCGAATAACTTAACAAATAGAGCCGAACGTGGTTCTATAATAAGTACTCAAATAATATAATAGAATCGAACGTGGTTCTATATACACTCACCAGCTTCAACTTTGAATATTTCAATCACTTTTGAATCGAAAAGAATGGCGCTCCATTTCCACAAAAAACCAATCATCGCAAGCGCCAATACCCTTAAAAATTAGCGCGCTATAGTGAATACACCACTAAGGTGGACTTTCTGAATATTGATGAGGAAACCTACAAAAAATGTAGGTCTACCATTGCCCTTTTGCAAAGCAGCATAAGGCAGATAAAAGAGGGCAGCGAGAAATTGCAAAAGCGTTATGAAAATATAATTGAGGAATATAGAGCCTGCAAAAATAAGTCCGAAAGGAAATATATTATGCTCGAAATCGAGCAAATAGAAAAGGACTCTAATTACCATACAATCACAGCCGATGCGGAGAGCCTCAGCTTGTATGCGTCGCTGGCCCGCTCAGATGAGGCAAAATGCGCGCGTGACAGGATGGACGTTAAGCTGGGATATATAACGCAAAATGCCCAAAGGGCGCTGACCCTCGAGTCAGAAGACCGCGGAGCGCTAAATAGCCCCGACGAGGATTCTGACCGAAACAGCTCGCTTTAAGTAATGCCGCAGCTAACGCCACCGAAGTAAGGGCCGCTGAGCCAGGAAGCCAACCAAACACCTGCCGCTCAGTAAAGCCTCCCACAAGCTTCGCTACCAAAGTTCTATGGCAGCGCCGAAGATTTCCCAGAATACTGGGCAGTCTTTGAAACGCTAGTCCACAACAGTAGCGAACTGGACACCATGGAGAAAGATCTTACTCCTCAAAGAAAGTCTGATGGGCAAAGCCCAGAATTCCATAAAAGATCAGACTAGTCCCACAAAATTATGGGTGGCTAGTCGAAACGCTTAAAATAATTACATCACTCAGCCCGTTAATAGGGCGCAAATAGTCCAAAAGCTGGTAAACATGGGGCCAGCAAATAGCTCTGCTGAAAACTGTTCGACAGCTTTCGAACAGATACAAGTGCTGGTCGATCAGATGATATCGGCAGGCTACGATGTACGAAAAACCTGCGATCCAATATGGTGCGAGACCATATTGGATAAATTCCCGCAGGACATCGTAAAGTCTGTTCTGATTCAGGGCCAGTCCCAGGATCAGCAGACAATAGAAGATTTAATGACCCTACTTAAGAGGGAAATAAGTGCTAAGCACTATGTTGAGGGCAGAGTGGGTCGCTCCATAAGCAACAGGCTCAGCAAACAAAACGGCCCCGACTAATCATTCGCGGCCTCAAAACAGCGATAAATGCATCTTTTGCCAGAAGAATAACCACTTATCATTGGCATGCAGAACGGTCACGGATCAAACCCGTCGCCGAAAAGTTCTAATAGATGAGCAAAGATGCTGGAAATGCTGTTTGTTTTGAATGCTCGAAAGCGGACCGCGCGATGTGCTCAAAAGCACCACATCTCACTGTTCGTCAAAAAAGAAAATATAGCAGTAAGGGGACAAAGCAATTCCGGGACCCCAGACCATAGACATACCAGCGAAGGGGCTGCTCGAAACTCTAATCACAGTAACACTTGAGGCAGCAACACTTCAGACCCCAGCATAATCAAAACAATAATAACAGCGTCCCAAGAAACAATAATGGTTTTAACGACCAAAGAAATTTCTCGAACAACACCCACCAGAGGACAGAATGTCCAAAGTTTTGAAGGGGCAACCTATCAGATAATCCTCGATGACTTGCTGAAGGGAACGCTGTGATAAGCTTTAAAGAAGCAGGAGATTCAAAAAAGTCTTATTCTTCTCGATTCTGCTAGTGCAACGAAAGAAAGCCATAATAGAAGAAAAAATGAGCGATAGAATTCGGTCCTTGCCAAAGCGGACAACCCGAGCATCAGCACAATGTCTGGCATCGGCGGCCACATTGAAAATTTTTGAGAGCCATCTAGTAACAACCAAGATAAGCAACGACTTTGGGGAAGAGTTGGAATTAGAAATCCAAACAAAGCCGGTACTCACCAACGGCTTCCCAAGCGTCAGGTTAACCAATACAGATGTTGACTTTCTAAAAGAAAACAACATTTGGCTCGCGAATTCAAGGTTACGGGTGAACTGCAAACCCCACATATCTTGTCTCGACTATTACTTATGACTTGGATCGCGGCCAGAAACCAATACGGTAACACAACCTCAGCAGGAATGCACACCTTGCGGCGCACAATATTGGGTTCAACCGTATACGGTAAGGGTTTGATTGCCGCAGAGAAAACTATGACAAGTAGCGCCTACCATGCTATAACGGCCCTTCACGAGAACAGCGAGCAAAAAATGCTGAGCAAAATGTTCGAATTAGAAGGGTTAGGGATATCCGAAGAAGAGTGTCACAACGATGACAAAACTCACAGTACTTGGAACAATATTCCAAGCAAATTTCTTTCGCAAATGGGTGCATAACAGCACCATTCCCCTTGAAAGAAAACGTTGCTCTTCTTGAAGACAACTACGGCGTCGCAATTAGACGCCTGGAATCCCTACAAAAGGCGTTACAACAGTCTCCCGAACAGCGCAAGTGGTACTCACAAATTGTGCAGAAATATGTAGAAGAAGGTACGATAGAACCCTTTCTCCGACCCTGAACCTGACGCCGTGGGGACCTACTACATGCCCCATTCCGGTGTTTGGAGGCCTCACAAAAAGGTACCACTGAGAATAGTGTTTGATGCGTCATCAAAAAGGAGGAATAGTTTGGCCCTCAATGACGTAATCCACAAAGGAGAGTCATTCATAAACAAAATTCACGATATACTAATCTCATCTCGCAAAGGAAATATCCTGCTAACGTGTGACATCGAAGCTGCTTTCACGCAGATTCGGTTGGTCAACTCGCACAAAGACCTGTGCAGGTTTCTGTGGATTAAAAATGTCCACCTCCCTCCCACCAGGGACAACTTAATTCAGTACCGTTTCCGAAGATTACCATTCGGAGTAACGGCTTCCCTAGCATATTAAATATGGCACTAGCCTCCTACCTATCTAAGCAACATTTGAAGCAACCTAGGTATTCACAAAGATCTTGCCCAGAAATAGGCGAGATAGTAATAATAGAGCAAGACCTACTGCCCCGGGGTACCTGGCCTTACGGCAAAATCACGGACATTATCGTGTCAGCCGATGGCTTAGTGAGGTCAGCCAAAATTTTAATGCCCAACCATAAAATCATTCATCGACCACTCAATAAGATTTACCCGTTGGAAATCCGTAGTGTACCAGATAACGATACCACGGAAAGAACGGGTGAGGCTAGGGCTCCACTTGTGGATGAAGGTTTAGAGGCTCCATCCACCACAGGTCCGCGATCGGAAACCAGACCACAGCGCACACCCCTTCCTCGCAACTCTAAAACTCGCGCTCATGAGTTCTTCAGAACCATGGACTGCGCAGTTCAGCATACCAAGTCATCACCTCCGATGACATCTGCCTTATCGTTCATCACCTTAATGATGGTGATGTCCCCTGCCCTTGCGGTCAACACTCTCCCCATATCGTGCGCCAATGGGACCGTATACATACCTCCAACGAGGGGCTGGTTCGAAGTGTGTATCGAAAACGATTGTAAACCATCGATCAATACCACACAAACGACCAAGTACGTTTTGCCCATATCCCCCACCGACAAAGATGCGAAGGTGCGACTCAGAACACTCGAAGAGAGTGGAATACTTGAGCACACCATGGTCTGCGATAGAGCAGAATTCTGTGAGCATCAATACTTTTTATCCAAAGGTTTACTTGGAAACCCGCACTGCTGGCCCGTCGGAGCTATAGCAACGACGGCTATTTTGACCTATCTGGTCATAACAGCAGTTATGTGTGTTGCATGGGCCATAGTTGAGCTGTCAAAAAGACTAAGCAATAGGCCCAACAACGCAACATTACAGCGGACCGCACAGAATGCACCAGGTGCAAATGCGTACAGTTTCGAACTAACGAAACTTCCAAGCTCAACTCTCAGCATTTGTGTGGCACTGTGC